ACGTCGTGATATTTTTAAATTTTCTATCTACGTGACCTTACCGAAAGAACCAAAGAATACGACCCCACCCGTTCATGATTATTAATGAGGGGGTCTGGTCGACGTGGAGTGACGTCACGCGCGTTACACACAAACAGACATTCTTGGCTCATTATATTAGTAATCCATACTTTACCCCAAATGACATTAAATGACGGGTGCATACAACTCCATTGGCTGTGTGCACTGTTCAAAGTTTCAGTTAGGCAATTAATGCAATGCTGCTACAAACACACACAATGTACACGGCAGTGGAAGTAACCTTTAGTGGATTTACTATGTTTGAACAATCTTCGGAATGTATTAATATTGTGACCATGCGAATACCTTTTTATTAAATGACTTCTTAAGGGGGATAATAAAAATATGTTTTAAGTGCCAACTGATCCAACAACCGTGACTCGAATGTTGAAGTGGTTAAAGCGACTTCCTGTGCAAATGAGCATTTAGACATTGGTGCTCATCTTCCCCTCGCAGCTCTGAATTATTGGTGAAAATTCCACGTTCCTATGGCACGGACAACCACTGTTGACTTGCTATCGAAGCGGCACTCTTCTTATTGGACCAATGGTTGATGATGAGGATGAGTCAAACCCCCTAGCCAGGATTTGGACTCGCAACCTTCCGATTGCGAGCCGTTCGCTCTGCCTGTGAAGTTGCAACATCATCATCACGGTCCATGGGCGGATAGCCCGTAGGTGTGCACTGTGCATTTCGTCATTTGTTTCCACTTTCCTCTGTCTTGTGCCAATATTCTCAAGTAGTAGTAGTGGCCACATCTTTCTGGCACCAATCTCTGTCGTCGTCATAAAACCATTCTCTGTTAGCTCTTCTTCTCTTTCCGGTTCCTTCCATTTTTACGAACCACAGCAGACTTTTAATTATCTTGTTGTCCATTCTACTTGTGTGTCCAAATGGTGCCAGTTTCCTTCTCATCACTGCCTGCATCAATGGCGGAGCCAGCAATGAAAAATGATAGTAGTTGTTAGTAAGTAAGGAGTTGTTAGTAAGTAAGGAGTTGTTAGTAAGTAAGGAGTTGTTAGTAAGTAAGGAGTTGTTAGTAAGTAAGGACTTGTCCCTTGCTTTTTATTCGACGCGTGTGCGGCGATGGCGCAGCCATCGATCGAGGGTCGAATTCGAACCGCGTTGTGTGATCGGCATCGTACTCGCTGAAGGTGTTGATGCCTTCAGGGAAGTCGTGTACTCTGTATACGCGACTGCGCACAAGTCTGTGAGTCACTTATAACCGCTTTGCCGTTACTTATTGCCAGTTATGGACTCAGACTATTGTCCTATCATCTCATACAGTCCCTGGCACATATGCTACACAGTGGCAGTGGGGGTCGCAAAATGCCGATTTATTACTAATAAACCCCAATGATCCGATTGAAATGAACGTGCCCCCCCCCCCACTGGCTCCGCCAGTGGCCTGCATCATCATCATCAAGTTGTCTTCTATGGGCAACCTTTTTCTTACTTCTACGTTGGTCACTCTTTCGGTCCAGAAGTTGCAACCTAGACTTGAAATAATTTGAAATTATGTAAAATATTATATTCTTGGATCTTTCGGTAAAGTCACCTGCCCCTGCCCCCTCTGGCTCTTCGCCTTTTGCTTTTATTTTTTATGATATTTGTAATGATTATTTTATTATTTTCTATTTTATTTTCTATCTACGTGACTTTACCGAAAGAACCAAGAATATGAATTCCTGCAGTCACGAAAATGTTAAGTCAAAATGTTAAATATTACGTGCCATCGTGCAGTTGTTGAATACAGATTCATATTCAGGTGGAAATGTACTTCGAGTGCTCGATTAATGAATTGGCATGTTCTGTTTACGTGACAAATCTTACCAATTGGCTGTGTCGGGTGGTGGTGGTGGGTTTAACGACACATTTATATATTTACGTGATAACCCAAAAAAACCTGTATTATTGATCCATCAAACATCTCCAGCAGGGCCATGCGAGACTCAATGGAACTTTTTTACTGTCCTGCATGTGTGCAGTGTTCGTAGGGTTACATCTTTATCAGCCATTATCATTATTATTGTTACGGTTGCCTTTATCCAGGCAGGCCTCATTGAGTCCCAAGACTTTTTCAGGAGGATCCTGCCAAGTGTTCGCGTTAGGGAGCGACGTCGCGATGTGTGTAATCCCGATTGAGTAGTTTGCAGGTACAGGAAAACCTTGGATTGCGAGCATAATTCGTTCCGGAAACGTGTTTGTAATCCAAAGCACTCGTATATCAAAGCACTAGTATATCAGTTGTGATCACGTGATGCTCGGCAGACAGAGCGTATACGTACTCCTCGTATTGCAAGACCTCGCTCGTTTATCAAATTAATATTTAAAAAATTTGCTCGTCTTGCAAAACACTCGCAGACCAAGTTACTCGCAATCCAAGGTTTTACTGTAACGATGTTTCAAAAGGTATCTCATTGATATATCTTCTCGACCCGAGTTATTAGTGTTCTGATGCATGCATTGTCTTTGTGCTGTTTGCCTTTTGGCGTTCTCTGGTCTAACACCGGTGGTGAGACAAGGCCATGAAGAAGGCTGTCTCTGGTGTAGGCCAATCAGTTTCAAAGACAATGCCCATATTATTATCAGAGCGTGTTTGTTTGCACGTTCACCACAAGTACGTGTGGTTAATGCAGACTTCATGCCTTGTAAAAGGTTTCTATTTGTTGTTTGAACATCTTAACACCTCCTGTTTTATTGCCAGAAAGGGTAAAACCTATTCTTGTTTTTCATCATTTTTGATACTAGCACAAAGGTCTCATAGATCATTTGTCATTATCCATTGCATGTACAGTTGGATATGGATTATTCCCAACACCCTTTTTCAGTTACGAGCCAAGTGCATAACGCAGCCAGGCATTGGTAGTGTGTCATCTTTATAGTTACACGCTTCCATATGTGGTTTAATTCAGCAGTAAGAAAGCAAATTGTTCTATACACCTCTCGAGCTAAGCTATTTTCAATTGTAGACCTTAACCAATGTAAACGTATTTACGCTATACACACATACAGACATAATACAGGATGCTTAAAATTTGTTTTAACACTTCTGAGAATTAGCAACAACACCATAAGAAATGTGCTGCCGCCTCCGGGCTCTGGAGACCACCTGGAGAAGATTCCAGGCACGCGTTGACAACGATGGCGAACAAGTGGAGACTCTTTGACTTTTTGAAGCTATTAAAATATATTTGTTATCATGTTAGAGTGTATTATCCATTCTCTTTACATTAAAAACGATCGTCCCATATGAGTGTCAACATTGTTAAGCACCCTATATATACAGTAAAACCTTGGATTGCGAGCATAATTCGTTCCGGAAACGTGTTTGTAATCCAAAACACTCGTAATATCAAAGCACTCGTATATCAGTTGTGATCACGTGACGCTCGGCAGACAAAGCGTATACGTACTACTCGTATTGCAAGACCCTCGCTCGTTTATCAAATTAATATTTATTTTAAAAATTTGCTCGTCTTGCAAAACACTGGCAGACCAAGTTACTCACAATCCAAGGTTTTACTGTATATAAAAATATGATTTTAATAAACCACTATTGTTTGTTTTTCTTTAAATGAAGAAACAAAAACAATGTGAATAATTGACTTTTATGATTCACGTAAATATTACATTGAAAAAAGGATATGACGTCAACTGTGTAAATTGGTTCAAGTGTAAATCTTGTTGTCAGAAAAGTGCAGCCATTATAAATTATGTTTTAAAATCATCAATGTGACAAGTGAAAAATAACCACTTCAGTGCATATCATGTCTTTAATGTAAATAATCTCTCCCGTGTAAACCAATCAATGTTTAGTCAATAAATTGCCACCATTTACCACCGACATTTCACAGAACAGGGACTCCTCTGCTTAAGAACATTCGCTTCACGAACTTTCAGAGATACGAAAGAACCAAAGAGTATGGATTCCTGCAGTCACGAAAGCTTCAAATCAATAACGAACAAACCTGTCCGCATGTCCATTTGCCTATTTGGACAGAGAGTAGTAAGTTCAACTGCAGCGCAATAGATGGCTGTGGTGGCATCTACATCTGCAGAACATGAAGAACTAGTGGCATCTACAGAAGATTATGCAACTTTTAAAGCCATTCCCTGTGTTTAGTGTACACGCTGTACAACATGTTTGGAATCGACAGGAGTAAAGTTGGACACAACTTACAAACAGACCTCTGGAGCCTAACTCGTTCGTAAGTAGAGGAGTCTCTGTACTCGAAGGGGGGTACTTTTATGGAATGTGAATGACATTTGGGGAATGTTTCTTCGTTTTGTAGTCCCATCACAGCACAATTATTGATTTGTTCTCGCGGTATCTGTCCCTCACGCTATGGAACGTAATCGCCATTGCAAATCGATGTAACACGGCTCTCAGTGTTTGGTTGTTCATTTCCATTTGATGCAGCGATGGCCAAGCCACCGAACACTGTGATTCACTAGAAAGCTATGACCGACAATTACCCGGATGGGTTTAACCCTGTAAAATACTCTAGACAAAGTACTGCACCATCTATTGGTAGCAGTTGTTTTCTTCTTTCTTTATAATTTATGGATTCTTAGTTGGGGATTTTTATTTGCCATTAGCCATAATGAGAATTGCTCTGTGCTTATTTTAGAGGTGTTTGTTCTGGCCAACAACCATATATATTTATAACAATTTTTATTTATTTATTTTACCATGGTAAGGCCCACTGAGCTATATAGCTGTTTTTTCAGAAGCGACCTAGCCACAAATGATAGCTTAACTAAGTGCCTTATCACGTGGAAATTTATTGCAGCCAAATACTCTAAAGGCATGTTTCTAAATGTGGAGGGGAAAACCGGAGGAACTGGAGAAAAATCCACGCGACCACGGGGAGAGAGACATGCAAACTCCAAATATTCAGCAGGCGTCAGGGTTGGAATCAAATCCATGACCTCTTGTATACCAGGCGAGGTAGTTAACATCTTGCCAACGGGGCGCACCCAATATCACCCTGAATGTGCTCGATCTCGTCCGATCTCTGAAGCTAAGTAGGACACGAGCCTGGTTGGTAATTGGATGGGAGAGATGTTTGTTGTGATTTGTCCTGAGAGCCACAAAAATATTTTGCGATCCACGTATTTCCCACAGCTCTTTTAAAGTATGGTTATCTCAGGTCTTTGGAATGTTATCTGCAAAATAACAAAAAATCATAACACATGTTAAAAAGAATAAAATACTATGTCTGCAATTAAAATGTAGAGTAATGGATTAATATAGTCAGTAGATTTATATAGAACACAAGAACATCACTTTATCCAGTTTTCCTGTAAGAAACCAACTCCTGGGTTCAACAGGTAATTAACACTGCATAACTTACCACTTCTTGGGTGACATTTTCAAGGGTGGGTTTAAAGACTCCAGGTGGAATGACGTCTTCTGCATTACAACACCACCAGAAAATCAATATTAATAACATTCCATAGCATATATGACACTGATCGATGTTCAGCCAACATCGAACAAAGACGGTCACTGCATTGCGCGCTTTCAAATGCGCTTCTGCGGCCGTCCAGAACGCTCTTCATTCCGCTATTCGAAAGCCACTGGAGCTATGCATTTTTTTTAAAATGTAAATTGAAAATGCATTTCTTTAGAACTGCTTTTTGTGTTTAGTTTTTTGCCCCCCTCTGGCACCTCCGATTATCATGGTTGGCTACATACAGTGCGAAATAAGTTTAACATACATACCATCGTGGAAGGCAATTCAGTGGGCCAAGTTAATATTTAATACATACACACACACACAACTTAGTCCCACACCTATACAAAGTGTTTATGTTGGACCAATATCATAGAATCTTAAGATACCCCACAACGCTAAAGTATTGAGTACACAAAACTTGCACGGTTCTCATTCATTCTCCGTAAATGCCTAAATCACCTCGAATTCCAACGCTTCAAAGACACCCATGGCTACTCTCCCATCTAAATCACAAGCCCACTCTTTAATTGCATATAGACAGACAATACAGGGCAGTACTCTATGCAGTGTTGTTTAGCTCTGTTTCCCAACGCGTAAAATAATCGAAACAATATGCACTGCATTTGGTGCTTGAAGGACAAAGTGAAGCGGAATGTATTGCCTTAATCACATAGTGATTGTACATTAAAAAAAGGAGTTGTGTTTTTTGTACAATCTATACGGTGCATCTGGCAGTGTTATTGAATCGGATGCACACGATAGATTGGATTATCGCCACGCTGGCAGACCGAACGCTATCTGTCGGCCTCCCTGGTCGAAGCAGCGAGCCATCGGAGAATGTCCGATCTCCTCGACGTACGGCCCAACGATAAATGCTGTGCACCTTTGACAACTTTCTCCTGCCCTGCAATAAGTTTGCCATTTCTGCAGCGAACCATATGACGGAAGAAGAGCCTCACTTTCAACCACCGTACGTGAGGATATAAATGCACGCGACTCTGTTAAGGTAGGTATACAAAACAAATTGCATCTTTGTGTCAATGCAATGCTGGACAAATGCCTCCATGTGATTGGGGGTTGTTCGAACATATTTCTCCATGGTGATCATTGTGGGTCCGCCAAAGGGGGTGGGTTCAGATATAACTAACCGATAATGTTAGCTATGGCCGGGAAGCAAACTCGGGTAACCTGATTCATATCAACATGAAACAATAAATGTACTTGGACATGTACAGTAAATGTTCCTCGAATAGCATTTCCCTCAACTTCAGTAAGGGCAATGACTATTAACAGTAAAGATTATCTGTGGACTTCATCTGTTGTTGGACTTTATCACGCAAGTGACTGCCTGATAAAAAGCAGTGTAAAAAGACTGTCAGTGTCATGCGTTTTACAATGCATGGCTATAGTCTTGAACTCCACCTGGACATAAACTTGAGTACAAGTGTGAACGATGAATGCTGGATAAACAACATAGCCACACAACAAATGGGTTACGTCTCCAAGAGCTACTGAACCCATTTGCGAGCAATGGTTAACCGTTATTTAGCTTTTCACTTTTCCACGCGCATTTAAAAAAAAATAAACAACTCATGCAGATTTTGTTTTGAGGTTGTGACCGCATTTTGTTCGGCATGATGTTATCAAGAACTTAACTAAGTAGCTCCCCGGAATGTGGGCCAAAAAGATCGTAAGGTAAAACGTTTCTGAAGGAGCATCGACACGCCGCACCAAACGAGACAGCGCGACCCGAAAACGCATCGGAGGGCTACACAACACGACGGCATGAACCCACGCAGTTTCATTATCCATGACGAATTACGTCTTTAAGTGTGCTGGAGCTAAATTTTGCCACATTTAATGTGAGGAGAAACTTGACTATGCGATGGTCACCGTAGCATTGTAAATTCGTGGTTTCTATGATGTTCACTTGAAACCACAATGAATTTGTGTATAGTTTCACAAGTAGGCTTTCGCGACCAATATAATCCATAATACATGGTTTTTTGGGTTAGATGGCGTAAATATAATTGTGTTGTTAAACCTGCCATCACCAAATCTGGCTGCCGCCTGATGAAGCTAGTTGTAATTACTGGCGGAACGTCGTACTCAGATTGTAAATGCTGTGGATTTGCTCTCCAACACACCAGTGTTGCTGTACGAGTAACGAATTGGCATGCTCTGTTTACGTGACAAATCTTACTAGTTGGCTGTGTCGGGTGGTGGCGGGTTGAACGACATTTATATTTACGCGATCTAACACAAAAAAAACCTGTATTATATTTGTGCACACTTGAAACCACGAATTTGCTATGGATATTATTAAACACTACAGTATTTTAGACATTTCGAAGGCCAAAGCATTTACATACATTGTTGTATATACAAAGTAACGCTTTATGTGTGCAAATGCATTCTCTTACATCAGCAGAATATTAGACTGATAAACAATGGTACGTACACAAATGCATGGCCAATACAATGCAATAAGGTTTACAACCTTCAATATCATGTAAGAAATAAGGCATTGCATAGGGGCTCTATAAAGGACGTGTATTTACAAATTGATTCAGTCTGTGAGTTCCAATAAACAACTGCAGCACATGAGAGGTATCCACAATAAGGATATGTGGATCAGCTTGCCTTTAAAAAATAATGTGTAGTCACCCAAGGCAAAATATATGTTCTGAAATATTGTCATAGCAGAGTAGGCAATTCTGTGTAGAAAGCGTGCCTGCGATCAAACCACCCGGAGTGTGCCTGTCTTAATTCTAGATTTGAAGTTTTCGTGACTGCAATGATCCATACTCTTGGTTCTTTCGGTAAAGTCACGTAGGTAAAAAATAAAATGAAGTTAATTAAATCACGACGTTTCGGAAGCAACACAAGCCTCCGTCATCAGGTGGGATAGTCTTCTTGCTGTGACTATCCTCTGGGGAACGAGTTTAATCCATAAATGTGAGCTTGAGGCCCAAGGGACAGCTTTTGATATCTATGGGAAATAATGAGCATGAACCGTCACGTGAACTCCGGTCATCTTCGCAGCAGCTTTTGGCTGGCCATCGAACACAGATGGCTACCGCATCGCACGTTTTCAGATGTGCTTCTGGGGTCGTCTGGAACGCTCTTCCTTCCGATACTAGGAAGCCACTGGAGCTATGCACTTTTCAATCTAGATTGAAAACTCATTTCTTTAGAACTGCTTGTTGTGTTTAGTTTGTTTTCCTTGCCGATTGGCACGGTTGGCGATGTACGGTGCGAGATAAGTTCAACATATATATACATACAAACAAGGTAGGACATGTCTTCCTCTGCATAACTGAGCTATGTAAAGGGTAGAGGTGCAGCTCTGCTATTTCAAGCTCATGCCACTGCTAGTGGAAGGGCCTCCACCAAAGACAGCTCTTGAGTGTCCCCCCAGATAATATTTAGCATAATCGTCTAAGCTGGCCAGACATCTTGGAAAAAGTGTGACTACCCACACTTTAATCCACCACACACTGCTGATTAACCATATGCAATTGATAATCAACCTTTATTTATACGATTAGCATCTGTCGTGTGCAAAGTGGCGTTACGTGTACCTTTACATTTTTGTTACGATTGTTGTAAATCGTAATAAATTTACAGGAAGAAAGAGTCACTTTATTGAGAACTGTTACTGGTTCACCAGCAAGTGGACCCTCAGCTCATACATGCTAACCATCCGTCTGTAGATGAGATATGCAGTATTTTTTGTAACTAAGAGAACATTAATTGTAAGTAACAAAAAACGCAAGTAAAAAAATGACAAAATATGTTCTGAATTCATATTTCGGTGTGCTATGACACGATGCCAATTATCTGAAGTCTCTTTCTGACGAAGCTGCCAGCACGTGGAGCCAAACGTCACAGACATCATGCCGAACAATACCACCAAACGCAATCAGAGGCCTCTCGCCCAGTTGCAAATAAAAGCAACTGAACCGATATGTGATAGATGTCATGTATGTATGTAGAACTTATTTCGCACCACACGTAGCCAACCGTGCTAATCCACGAAGACTTGCAAAGTTACCAGCATCAGGCAGATGTAAAAACGAGCGTACAGCACACACACACACTAAATATCAAACAATACGATCACCTCCTGATCACATTCAGTCACGTTAACAGGTGTGATGGCGGGGAAGGTCCCATCATACCACATACCTATTTTGTCTGAGGAGGGATCGTAGAGTGGGTTGTCGTGGGAACCTGGCGAGTCGTAATCATTTTCTCCTTTCCAATGTTCATCAGGGTATTCGTAGTTTCTGACGCTGTCAAAAAATATAAAGCGGCGGAGTATTACAAACAGACTCGCTATGAACGAAGTTAAACAACACAATTGCAGAGGCAACGATGACGTACTTTTAGCACAATTGAACTGAGGGTTATTTTCAAAATACGGCTTAACACCAGACATGTGACCACACATTTAATAAGTAAATCTGGATTTAGAACGAATTTATTTAGAACTGCTTGTTGTTGTGTTTATTTTGTTATCCTTCACCCCCACCTTCGATGAACACGGTTGGCTACGTACGGTGAAAAGGACGTTCAACATACATACAGACGACTAAGTGTCACACCCGTTATCATCGTAATGCATCGCACAATAACACGTAGGTGTTTGTAGTAATTCACAAATGAGGAAGGGAACAGCAGAAGAAAATGTGTCACTACATTGAACATTTGCCCGATGATATAAAACTCACCAAGGGTAGCAAAGTAAAATGTTATTTTACATATAAATTAGGAAGGAGCAAAATCATTCCCCTTTGTAAAATATACATCTTGATCAAATTATTTCTTAAATGAACAATTACAGCTACATATAAATTAAACAAATACATATTCCTATTATATTTAACCACTTTTTTGCCTCATGAAACAGAATGAATCACTACCCACGTGGGTTGCTTGAATACGATGAAGAAATGGCTAATCTAATGGGGAGGTGTCATGAGAAATGCGTCGCTTTTGACAACACTTTAGGCATTCAGAATCATAGGCCATGAGGTCTTGATTGGCACCAGAAAATGATTTCATGGAAAAAATGTATATCTTGGTTCTTTTTTTTGTGGAGTGTTTATTGAAAAAAACACTGTATATTTGAACTATGCCAAAGTTAAACATGCCTCTCTTAAGAATAGCACGGTTTGTATTGAATAATATATCGATATGTAGGCATTCATGTTATACCTAACACGCAAGCTTGGCACTTGTTTTTGTAGGGAAGACTCTTTTCATGATATTCCCTCAATCATGTTAAATACATTTTATTTCCCTCTTTAAAAAAAAGTACATGACTGTGCTGGTATATAACACCTATAAACATTCTTTTTACCTTTCAGCCCAATGTAAATTCCATTAGCAAGTGCTCAAAGTTATATTACGTTGAGCAAACCCCCCACGTTGAACAAATATTACCTCTTCGACTGAATTTGCAAAACTCATTGTGCCACTAAACGTGAACAGGCATATTGGTGTACAAAGTTCCAATTTGATGCCTAATCATGCTTCTAGAATTGTGGCAATGCTCAAAACAGCCCAATGTATGGCATATACCTGATTAGGGCCTTGCACTAATCAGGTATATTGGTTGTCAGTCGTGCAAGTAATCTAATCTCTATCAACGGGCGATTGGCACGACTGACTGCAGAACGATTTGTAGGGCCACCATAAACAAATGCACCAAGGTTAACAATGCTGGGAAAACACCACGCACACTGACCCTTTGTGCTAACCGCTACAACACAAATAATATAGTCACATGGACATGTTTGAAATATCTGTGTCAGTGTATTTGTTGCTATAGAGGCATTTGGACATTATGTGCAGAATATATTTGTGTGTTTTTTTTTATCGCAGAGCCTAATTTATTTAGCTGAATATATTATGCCGTCGGTGGTAGGCACGCGAATCGAAGCCACAGCCATAGCGAGATGTATTATAATAATGATCAATATGGTGTGCCGGGAGTGGAAACTTTTCTTAGCCATTGCTGACCTGGACATACCAAGCCGAATTATGCCCTGGTTATATGTATGGAGCACGTAGCAAATATAAAATGTGCTTATTGCTTTTTAAACCGATGAGCGTGGTCATCCTCTAGCCCAGCTTTCTTCATTGCCAAGGCCCGCGGGCCACTGGCGGCAATTGGTTGACTTCACTGCCGTGCCTGGCGTGCGGTGTGGCGGCCCTTACACTGGTGATGTCAGCGAAAGTGGCCACCCTCTGAGAAGTAGTGAAGAACACTGCTCCAGCCAGTGACTGCGTTCGTTTCTTACCTGGCTTTGACGGCTTTTTTTTTCTTGTTCCTCTTGATCATCACCACAGTCAAAACAATGGTGGCTATGAGCAACACGACGAGTGGTACGGTGATCCCAGCAACCAGACCGATGTCAATGCTTTCGCAATGTTTACCAATGTAAAAATCTCGGCAACTGAAATAAAAAAAAATTATCCTAGTTAAAAATGTATGCAAAATTAATTCACATTTTAAACATTTGACTTTAAAAATAATAATCATGCCATGGTGAACCTGATGAAAACAACTGCCTTTGAAATAGCGTTATATCTGTTGGCAGTGCAGCAGACATCTCAAGCGGGACTCCCAAACGATCTCTTGGTTTTAAAGCATATGCACGCATAAAAGATAGTGGTGGGGTTCCCCTCAAACATTCATGGAGGTGGTACTAATCTAATGTTTATAGCCTTCATCTCGTTGTGGAAATTCGACAATCCTTCCAGGGGTGAGTCGTAAGCTACGTGCTCTGACCACTTTGGCACGCAAACACAAATAAACATATTATAATTCGTGAGTTACGCTCTGAGCTACACCTGGGCTGTGTGGCTGTGTGTCATAGTTGAATTTTGGTTGACGAATGTATTGCATCATTCCCTACTGAAGTTGATAACATTTCTCAAAAGTGTTTACAAAATTAAGTGCATTAAATGTTTATTCTGAAATAACATTGAACATTACTAAAATAACAGTGACATGATCGGGCTAAATAACTAGAATTCATGTCTCTAAAATTATGCCTATGACGAAAAAAATCTCATACTTGATCATATTTGGTGGTAAATGCCATGACTATCACGATGAGCAGAGATAATTACAAAACAATTACCAGCCAACTGTATGAGAACAAGTTTTTTGTAAAGCAAAAGTAACACACAACAGCAACCTTAACGAAATAGGTCAAAATATAACAGTAGGATGTTTTGTCCTGCAGGCGGGGAGCTTTCTCGGTGTTTCGCCCGACGCCCCAACTGACGTCCTCTTCTCCCCCACCCCCACGTGTGCAGATACTACTGCGTTGTACCTCAAAGTTCATTGGACATTTCTTTTATTGCACCCTCCATCCATGACCGCAACTATTAGAACTCTAAATAAATGCTCAATAAATGGTAAAAAAAATATGTTTATATCTGCATAATGGATGAAACAATCATTTAGATTGATCATATTGGTCGTGGGATTAGTCAGTCTCCAAACCAAACCGACCAGTCAGGCTGAAACATGTCTGAAAAGTGGTGGTGGTGGGGGGGTAGGCATATATGCCTTTCAAAATAAATCTGGACTCTTTTGTATGTACGGTGTGTATGCCTACAATTTGCTTCTTTTTGGAGGGGGGGGGTAACTTTTTACCCCCACATCTGGGGGTGGGGGTCCACTTTCTATAACTTTTCGATTGAGGCCTTTCTGAATGGCTCTGCTATAATTTAGTTGACGGACCAAACGGAATACCGGGCTTTTATAGGTTAGATTATCGGGAAAGAAATGCAGCTGATGGACAACATCAATAACAGTTGCAACCAAGAGGGTGAATGCATAGAGGCACAGCAGAAGAGATTAAGGTGCGAGGCTAACTGAAATCTCATTTGATCAAAGACAATAGCAATCCACTCAAACTGACTGATTAGATTATCAATTAAAATGTATACAGTATTCTTACACTACGCACGTGGTAATTGGGAACTTTATGTGTGTGTACTTACTAGCACACTGCAGTATATGGAGACACCGGAGTGATCTTGCATTGTCCACCATTTTGGCAGATTAATTTGCCGAATTCCCCGTGACACTCAGTTACACAAATGTAACGTCCATCGGTGAGCACAGCTTCAAGATGTATTTTGCTTGAGTTACTCAAGTTGATGCAAATGTCACTTGGATCTGGAGATGACGAATATTTTAGCATGCTTTTCATTTAAAGTGACTGTTTTAGTAATGCAATTGGTATTTTACAGCTGCACTAGTTCACTGCGATTAAAAACATTTGAATAACAAAATTACAAGAACCAAGATGTTATTGTCTATAAACAATAGGCATGCATATATTAAATACGTATTTTCAATCCTTTCAATAAATGTTCTAGTCTACAAGAGACAACATTATCAACAATCCACCCACCCCTGTTGATAGTTGGGTCATGCGCTCTGAAGTCAGGTCCACACCAGAGCCATTAGTTGTGCAATCAAAATGCTCAAAAATTCACGCAACTAAATTGCCTACTTATATTTCAACGTCTCTAGTTACAGAGATTTAGTTTGTGGCATATGTGTTGCTATACATTTTTTAAAATATCTATATTACTTTTGCCACAATGTACAGTAATTCCTTGTTTAAACGGTAAATGTGTTGCTGAACAGTCGCATTAAGTGAAAACTCATTCATCTACGACTTGTATTTAGTTTATCCTAAATTATCGACAACATATTAAGTAATGTATTTAATATATTGTGGATAAATGAGGATAGATTGAGTAAGTTTGTTAGACATTTTGAGGAAAATCAAACATATAACTAGTCAAAGACAGCAATAGATATCATGCCATGTTTAGCTGCACGTGGTTTGTGGTCACCCGACTAGAGCAATCGATTGCACACACTACCCAAGCAGAAACGAACGTGTACAGAATAGCTGCGTGTTTTATATGTAGTCGATGCAATAGGCACAAGCCGTGTAAAATCAGCAACATACAGTGGCTCCTCTACTTACGAACATTCAGAGATACGAACAAAACCTGATACGAACAAAACCTGTTCGTATGTCAAGTTGCCTTTTCGGATCGAGAGTCGTAAATTCAACCGCCGCGCAATAGATGGCGGTGGTTGTTCGGTGTCATTGCCCAGGATTCCCATTCATGACCCAGCATTCCCATTCATGACCCAGCATTCCCATTCATGATCCAGCATTCCCATTCATGACCCAGCATTCCCATTCATGATCCAGCATTCCCATTCATGACCCAGCATTCCCATTCATTACCCAGCATTCCCATTCATGACCCAGCATTCCCATTCATGACCCAGCATTCTCATTCATGACCCAGCATTCCCATTCATTACCCAGCATTCCCATTCATGACCCAGCATTCCCATTCATGACCCAGCATTCCCATTCATTACCCAGCATTCCCATTCATGACCCAGCATTCCCATTCATTACCCAGCATTCCCAGCATTTCTGCCTGGGCCGCGGCCATTCTCTGTTGTGGTGTTGTCCGCTCTGCGGTTCACTACGACGTTCTCTGCACTTTTCACGAACATTATCAGCCCCCATCATCCATAATAGAGTTTTTTTGGGTTAGATCGTGTAAATATATAAATGTGTCGTTAAACCCGCCATCACTCGACACAGCCAATTAGTAAGTTTTGTCACGTAAACAGAGAATACCAATTCGTTACTGGTATAGCATACCGGTGTGTTTAACGACAAATTTATATATTCACGTGATCTAACCCAAAAAACCTCTTATGGATGAAATTGGTCGCGAAAGCCTGCGTGTTAAACTAACCCCATCATAAATTTTGATTTAAAGCTTTCGTGACTGCAGTGATTCATATTCTTGGTTCTTTCGGTAAAGTCACGTTGAAGGGAAACAATAAAATATATATAAAACAATAAAATTCTCACGACGTTTAAATACAAACCGCCACTTCTTTCAAATGTTCTTGCCGTTGGTTTTCACACCTGATGATGACTGCTTGTGTTGCAGTCGAAACGTCGTGAGAATTTTATTGTTTTATATATATTTTATTATTTTATTGTTTCCCTTCAACGTGACTTTACCGAAAGAACCAAGAATATATATAACCCCATCATGTCTTCCAAGCGTAAGAGTGGTGAAAGTGTTGAGGGTGCTGGTTAGAAGAGGCGCACTAATACGATGGAAACTAAAGTGGACATTATAAAACATTGTGAACTAGTTGCATCTACATCATGTGATGTTCATATGATGAACAATACTCACACCTGTCAACCCCTTATCAGTGCCTAGCTTATTACAGACCAACTTAGACCTTATTCGTTAACCCGTGCCCTTATAAATTTAAACGTTCATCCTACAAAGTCCCATCACAAGGGAGAAAGACAAACAAATAGACAAAAACATTGCCCATATTGAAACTTGAAACCTTAATTTCCTTGTACAAAAATACGGGTAAACCGATTTGGTTGACCTGTATGAATACTGTACGCACTTGTGCGTTCGCGAAATGCCACAGTACCATTTTTATTTGACCGATAATTTATTTTTTAATGTTAATTGCGTGAATGAATGCAAATATGCCTAATAACTACAATTAATAATTTTCGGCAAACAAAACACTTACCAATGTCCTCTCTGTCATCTTCTACTACTGTGATATTGTCCATATCCAATATAAATCCAGTGCAGATGGCTGTGTATTACAACAAAGAACATGAGAAATTGGATCACTCATCCGATGTATTTAGCAATTTAATAGGTATGCATTCTACAAGCATTACATATTATACTCTTTGGTTCTTTCGGTAAAGTCACGTAGGTAGAAAATAATAAATCACGACGTTTTGATCGCAACACAAGCAACCGTCATCAGGTGAGAAAGAACTGCTAAACAACAGGTTATATAAGGTAGGAGGAAAGATGCTGATGCAGGCTGCTTCTAATGCAGCAGTCCCCAACCTTTTTGGCACCAGGGACCGGTTTCGTGGAAGACAATTTTTTCACGGACCGGGGGGGAGTCATAATTGGGTCTTTCGCCCTTTTCAAAGAAGCTCTCCAGTGACGTTTGTTTTTTACTCATTTTGCCTCGGGGTTAGCTTGTGGGCTTACCAACACTGTGACTGAGACAAGTGCGCAGTGCGGGAAAGAGGCGCGGACGGAAGTGGTAAATAAAATAATGGGGGCGGGCGACGCGCGGACTCACCGCTCTCACCTCCTGCTGCTGTGCGGCCCGGTTGCTAACAGGCCACGGACCGGTACCGGTCCATGGCCTGGGGGTTGGGGACCCCTGCTCCAAAGGGTAGAAATGGGCATAGCCCAAGAGTCATAAATGGCTGCTGCGCGCGAGACAAGGGGAGGAGATGGGCGGCTAGCAAACGTTAGCTAATCTGAGAGGGGGAGTGAGTGGAGGGACTGCCATAACGGGCGAGCGGGTGGAGATGCAATTCACAGAGGGATCGGCGGCAGGAGGAGAGAGAGGGGGTGGGGCAGAGCTAAGAAGGGTCTGCGTGTGAATGTGACTCAGAGAGTCGAGAGAAGCTGCTAATATAGGCGGGCAGGAAGGGGACATCACAGCCAGTTATGACCTAAACTGGTTAATAACGTCCTTCCAGTGATTGCTCAGTTTGTACTCATCTTCTCGGATTAAATTGTGTCTGTGTTCATATATCTGGATGGCTTCATGGACAAATCTTTGATGGTAGCCCGAAGGTTTGAAGAGTACCTTGGTCTCGGAAAAAAAAACACCACGGAGGTATTGGTTCTGCCGTGTTTAAAACTTTTCTATTGGAGCCCATACATAAGGCGATGACATATCCCTTATGGCAACAAAGCTACACATCATCCTGAGCAATGGTTTCTGGATGCATGCACAGCCCATTTGTCAATCCACTGCTGGATGAGGGCCTCCCCACGCTGTGTTGGTTGCGAGGGATATTCGACCATATTTCAACATCTTCTTTGGTTCTTTCGGTAAAGTCACGTAGAATGATAATAAAATAATAAATTGATAAAATAAAATAACACAATAATATTCTCACGACGTTTCGGCCACAACACAAGCAGCCTTCATCAGGTGAAGGGGGCGAGACTGTCTTATCATTCTACGTGACTTTACCGAAAGAACCAAAGAAGATGAATCATTGCAGTCACGAAAGCTTTAAATCGAAACATATTTCAACATGTTCATCGGCACGGGTTGGCAAAGGGACGGGAGCACAGACGGTGGATCATAGAAGTACAGTACAAAAATGCATTTTGCTGCACTGCCCACTGCTGCCCGCTACAGTGAGGGAAAAAAGTATTTGATCCCCCTGCTGATTTTGCAACTCCACGAGGTGAGATCTTGCATGGAGCCCCAGGCCGAGGGAGATTGACAGTTCTTTTGTGTCTCTTCCATTTGCGAATAATCGCACCAACTGTTGTCACCTTCTCACAAAGCTGCTTGGCAATGGTCTTGTAGCCCATTCCAGCCTTGTGTAGGTCTACAATCTTGTCCCTGACATCCTTGGAGAGCTCTTTGGTCTTAGCCATGGTGGAGAGTTTGGAATCTGATTGATTGATTGCTTCTGTGGACAGGTGTCTTTTGTACAGGTAACAAGCTGAGATTAGGAGCACTCCCTTTAAGAGTGTGCTTCTAATCTCAGCTCATTACCTGTATAAAAGACACCTGGGAGCCAGAAATCTTTCTGATTGAGAGGGGGTCAAATACTTATTTCCCTCATTAAAATTCAAATAAATTTATAACATTTTTGACATGCGTTTTTTGGATTTTTTGTTGTTATTCTGTTTCTCAATGATCAAATAAACCTATTAAAATTATAGACTGATCATTTGTTTGTCAGTGGGCAAACGTACAAAATCAGCAGGAGATCAAATACTTTTTTTCCCTCACTGTATGCAGCCGCGCAATAGCCGATACAAAAACTGGTTATGATGATTTATCATCCAAACATTATCCAGAATCTACCTTACTTAACTTTCAAAATATGACAAGATCGGGTGCATTTCAGGTGATTCTGTCATAGGCAATCCTGGGTAATATCCTACAAAGTGCCTTCAAGTGATTTTTCAAGAGTTTGCTTACAGGCAAACCACGTCATAGTACGTAGAGTGTACGAGAGAGATGTTTACGGTGTCCCTATTGTCCGAGATACAATACTATAGGTACAAACAAGAATAGCTTCTCAGAGCTGAGCTACACTGAATTAAGTAAGAACAAACAAACGTACAGGTTTATCCCACCGCCATGAATGATAGAAATTGGTGACCAGACTAAAGCCTTCAGCTGCTACATATGAGGTCCTGGTTAATTTAGTCTTCAGTGGGGAGTCCACATTTTGAACCCTGACCTTGGTAATGCTGAAATACGCCTTAGCCTCATGGATTAGTTTGTGCGTTTTAGATGTATTTATTACGTACCTTCTTCAGTCGTGCTTGTATTTCTAATACAGTTGGATTTACTTAGTAATTCTTTAATTTTTTGTTCCACGTTGTTTAATGTTTCAATGACATCCACGTCATTAGTATATTGAAATGCCACTGTGTGGTTCACAAATACACTTCCTGGTCTGTTAACATTAATTATGGACAAAATGCACACGTGACATAATTAATAACTCATCATCACACATTCCCGAAATATGTTGTATATAAAATACAAGCACAGTCCTTGTCAGCCCATACAGAAGAGAAATATGTATTTTTTGCTCAGGTTTGTTTAAATTCTATCATCCAGACTGTAAAAATGTATTGCGCCATATTTTCAGAATGCATTCAGGAATATGTTACAAACATGACCACTGCATCGCGTGCTTTCAGAGGCGCTTCTGTGGCTGTCTGGAATGCTCTTTTTCCGATATTAGGGAGTCACAGGTAGCTATGCACTTTTAAATCTTGATGTAAAACTAATTTCTTTAGAACTGCTTTTCGTGTTTATTTTGTTGTCCTTCCCCCACACCTCCAATGAGCACGGTTGGCTACATACATACGTTGCAAAAGAAGATCAACATACATACTGTACATTTCTGTTGATATACAAATACCAAAACATCTCACGTGGCAAGACAAGACTGCTTTGTATGTACAATATTTGCATGCAATGTGTTTGAAAAATTCTATGTTTGGTACATTTATACCTCCATGTGTATCATGAGGGTACAGACGTAACGACAACGACACCCGAAAGACGTGTGAGTGCTTGTTGGCGTGATACACCGCCTAGAACCGT